GCATTGTCTGTATTTCTTTGAGCTAAGGTTTAACCAGATTGGTGTGACCTTAAAGTCCTCCCTCTTTCCTTAATAGATTTGAATTCTACTTCTGACTTGTTACAGACACAGTGTGCATTACATGTTTAATGTAGAAATAAAAAACACTGACAAAAAGCCTTTTAAAATATTTGCTAAATAATAATTTCAATAATTTGCATTTCTCTACAGCACAGCGGTCTTTTAGGTTCCTGATTTGCAAGATATCTTACTCTTTGTAAGTTGCCCAAGTCCTCTTTTGTTGAAACCAAGCATAGGACAGAAACGAAAATAAATTATAAAGGTGTACTCTTGGAATCAGGAATGAAGACTGTCCAAAGACTGACCTTCAGTTTTGAGCTTTGAAGTTCAAAAGTGGACAGGTGGAAATATTGTGTTCTTCATTGCCCTTTGGTGCGAGATATATTCTAGGTTGCAGAGTATGTGCCAACAGCAGCAAAATTATCGCCCTCCTCCTGCTACTGTAGTAAGTCAGCAATGGCCCTTCTGTGGTCAGAATGGCAAATTCAGCAGCAACTATTCGACAGGGATTTACAGAAACTTCCCCATGGCTGTTAGGAATCTTATTCAGCAGTGTCTTTGAAAACCCGATTCTGTGCAGAATTAACTATGTAGAAATGACCTCAGTTGTGATAAAAGGTATTTTAAACAAATCTAATTTGTAATTTCACTGAATGTGTGTTTTGCATTTAACGCCACAAAGTCTGGTAGATACCTACACATGTATTTTGCATTCATAAGTTTTACAGTGGTTCAGAATTTTTTTTCCGTATTAAAATTTTTAAAAATCCTGGCTTTATAGAGTCAGTTAACCATACAAAGCCACTATACATCACTTAGGTTTGTGATGAAAGAATGGAATTGCAGCTGTGTGAGTACTAGAATACCCAAACATGAATTAGACTCACAAGCATTTGGCAATAGTTCAGAAAAGGAGCTTAATCTGGTTTCATCTGAGACTGCTTTTCTCTGTTCTGCAGCATCCCCCCAAGATGTTGTGTCTGATACCAGATCACAACGTAATGGGAGTGACGCAGAATCGAGAAAGCCCTGAGAAACCAGGGGCACATTTGCTTTTCTCCAGAGAGTTTCTTTCTCCTACTTCTTTTTTCCCTCTCCCACATTCCAACTCTGAAATTCAAGGTCATTCACCTATTAGATGCATTAATTATAAGCCAAAAAAGCAGTATTCATCGTACTGTGATCTCAGTCATATCTATAATTAAGTGTAAATATAATCTTCCCTTTTAGAAATGTACCACCCACCCATTACATTTAAAGTGCTGACTGAAATGAAATAATAGTTCAGAGCAAGATGATTTTAGTTTAACAAGAAAAAAGTTGATAATTTAAGCTTCAAGCAGGGAGTTCTATTTTTGATTACCATTCAGTTATAAATCTAATTTGAGATATATGCTGCTTTTCTGTTACTCAAGTTTAATTCATGGTTTGCTTTCTTGGTTGTATAAGCAAAGTGCAGTGGTTGATCAAGGTTGTTGAGAAGCTCCCCCGAAACGGAATGGGGGCAGAGTTGAGAATGTGTTCGAAAGACATTCTGAGACCCATATCTGATGTAAAACAAACAAATCTGATGTAAAACAAACAACCAAATTTTAATTGAAAAAGAAACTTAGAGAGTGCTGTATTTGGGGATTTGAATGGCCAAGTTAGGAATGGCCATTTGCAGGGGAATTGGCTGCAGAGGGTGAACCCCAAAACATTGCAACCTGGTTGACAAAGTCGGTGTGTTTTATTCGTTGGTTATGGTATTGTAAGTCTTTTGGGAAAAAAAATAGGAGCGAGTAAGGGGAAGGGCTTGTCTCATCACACTGTGGACAGTTAAGTAAAATGCTAAACTATGGGTTTAAGATTTACAGGTTAGCTCTGCCAGATGCCACATCTGCCTCCAGTGTTTCCTGGCAGATTCGGGCAGCCTATTACTGGGACCCAGCATAACCGCAGAACATGAACTTGCACAATGTGAAAAACCTAAAACCATTATAATCCTGTTTAAGGCTAGGATGAATTTGCCCATTTGAAAGCAGATGTAGTTTTCAAGCTTAACTTTTATCAAGCATAAACTTGTCTTTAGATATATATATAAAATATCTATACACACACACACACACACACACACATATGCAGGTAAATTCATAATATAAATGAATACCTTATCCATTTTGTGCAAAATTTAATTTAAATCACACGCTGTTCACTTTTTAAAATTCGTAAACTCAGATTTTTCAGCCAGTGGAAAATTTATCTTTCTCATCGCTACAGAGAGTTAAGTATGTGACGTAAAGGCCAAACAATAGTAAATGGTCATTGTTCACTTTATAAGTATACTCTATAATAAGAACACATATATTTTTATCTTCATTTTCCCTAAGGAGGTGTTTAGGGCCCCCTTAAATGTGAGGAAATGTTTATTTTGTTGCTTTAGAAGAATGATTCTATTGTCCAAGGGAGAAAGAAATAGGAACAAACAGGTCTAAGGAGAAAGAAACAGGAATGTGCTTTGTGAAAAAAATAAAGATTAACAGGAACCACTAAAGGTTTGTAAGTGCTATCTGGTCCTAGTACTATGTTACTGCACATAGTCCTTGCGCCTGCATATATAACAGTTAGATGTGTGATTTATTATGACTAGCCCATGAAATTATTTTCTTTTAAATTAACAACAGTAAGGTCAACCACAGCCTGTAGCTGTTTTGTAGTTATCATTTTATATTTTTCACAGCTCCATTGTGAATGCTGCTAAAAGACAGTGTAGCAAGTGTGTGTTTTTAGATTGACCCCTTGAATGCATTTAATTTCTTGAGAGTGAAAACCTTTGCCACCAGGACCAAGAAGAATTAACCAGTGGTTAAACTCATTTAAAAACACAAGCAAGCATTTCAACGTATTTGCTCAGCCCTTTTCTGAATATTTTATATACTTCTAGAAAAAGGAAAATGAAGAAATAGGGATGATTTGTGTCTAGAATACGAAGTTATTTTCAAACTCCTTTCCAGTGAAATGAAGACTCATTCGTGGATTTACCAAACTGTAAGGAGGTTGTAATTTCAAATCATTCACAGCTTTATTGATGGAAATTTCGAAGAAAACTTGGACACAGACTTCACTATAACTTTCTTTGTTAATAAGAAATGCCAAGAGTGAAATTTATGCTGAAATTCAAACATTTTTGAATGCCACTCCTAAATGATGAATTATTTGTTACTAGATTTCTGATTTATACAAAACTTTATTATAATAAGCCTTATGTTTTAGTTTGCATTGTGTAGTGTTTTAGTATGTCTCTTAGGTTCAAAAGAGGCAATAGCTGAGCATATAGATGTCAGATTTTTATCTGATAAATCTGGTTTTATCAGGTATTTATGTGGTAAACATTAAGATACTAGCAATGAGTTTATTACTCAAAATGTGCTTTCAATCTGAAATCTCATCCTTGAAGTTGTATTTTGAAGTAATGTTTATTACATATCTCTTGAAAAAGTCTTGAGCTGGAATCAGTAAAGGCGAGCTTGTCAGCAGCTGATTAGTCCTTTATATATGACTCATCCAACACTCAGAAAAACCCCTTGGAATAGAGAGGTTCTCTTTATGATATTTAGCTATATGGCAGTGGAAAGGGGAGGTTTGAATTTTTGATTTTCCAGCTTATGGGTCATATTTGACCAACTGCTTTCACTAGAAGACATGCCACTTTGTTGAGCTATTTAGGAATCAAAAAGACTGTCTTAATTTAAAACAAGGACGCTTTGTTTTAGTTGGTGACTGCCTTGTGAAATTTTTCAGTTCTCAGCGGGTTAACCAGGGAACAGGGGCAGAGTCATAATTGGCCTATTTAGAGTATTTTGCATGTGAATAGTGTGTTAGTGAAGCATCCCTAAGTCTGTTGTGAGTGACATGGTGATTAGAATTTAGATTAGGGAAAACACATTCTGTACTTTATCAAGGACAGTAATTAGTTCAGTCAGTAAAAGTTGATTACAAGTAACGATAAAGTTAGATTTTTAGTACTTAATTTTAAAATTTCTTTATTAAACAGTAAATTTGTTCTTAATATAAATGGTACTATCTACTCTTGTTTTATTGCATATCAGAATAATTAAAAGAACAATGTGCTCAATGCAGAGTATAATCAGACGATTTATATATTATGGGTAAGTTTCTATGTAGTTTTTAGAAAATGTAATATTATATATAATCTTTCTGATGTCATCATTTTTAAAAGTTTAATGATTGTCACACTGATAGGTTATTGTGGAAGTTTTCTAGTGTTCAGGTAAATGTTCAATCTGTGGGATGTGTCTTAGCTTCCGATAGACCTCAAGGGAGCATTCTGAAGTCCTTTGTGGCTGTTAGCGTGGAATATCTGCTATTTCTGTAATTTTGAGAGTTAGTGTGAGGATTTGAATTTCCTCTTGTTTCAGTTGGCATTTTCTCTTCTGTGGGTGCTATGACAGTTCGTGGAGAATCATGATATGCAGTACAGGGAGGCAGGGTTCTCAGTCGAGTTCATAGGCTACACTCACTCCCAGTGCGTGCAGCCGGGGGAAGTTGTGTGCGTTCACAAAATGAGATTCTTCTTGTTAAGGAAGGGGATGAATAGCTCCCAGATAAGAGCCTAAGTCTAGAGAAAGGAAACATTAGTCTTATATAAATGCCATTTGTTTTGTGAAATTAAAACGTGAGTCATCTTAAAAAACTTAAAAAAAATATTGTTTAAAGGGAATCATCTACTTTCCTTCTAAAAGTAAAGAATTAAAAATTCACAAACTTTGTGATAGCTTCTTAGACTGCCTTTCTTTTGAGTTTTTGTTTTGTTTTAACTGTCTCAGCTTAGCAGATGCCATTTGCTTTATTGCATTGGTTTAAGTGCTAACAATCAGTTGGGAGGTGGTGAAAGTAAAAAATTAACCTTATATGTTTCTTTTCCCTTTTTAACCTTTTAGCAGAGTCTCCTTGGAGGTGACATGGATATGGGCAACCCAGGAACCCTTTCGCCCACCAAACCTGGTTCCCAGTACTATCAGTATTCTAGCAATAATCCCCGAAGGAGGCCTCTTCACAGTAGTGCCATGGGTAAGGTATTCCTTTGTTTGAATGCCTGAGGGATGATTATGCCTTTTTCTTTTTTTCTTTCTTTCTTTCTTTAAAATATCACCCCCTCATCCTACCTCGCACCCCCAAAAAACCATAAAATTTGGCTCAGTTGTCATCCTGGAGACTTCACCCCAGTACACTGAGTAGGTATGTTAACAACTTATGGTAGCAGAACTTTTTTGGTGTCTGCTTATTTCTAGTTTTCTCTTGGCTGCACCCATAAGGAAGCTTTTAAAAGATCAAAGTAGCAAAAAGTTAAATGTCTTCATTTTTAAGAACAAGGCAGCATTTGATTTCTGCTAGTATCAGATGTGATCATGGTAACTACAGTTTGCTAAGGTAATGATTTAAGGAAATGTGGTATCATCTAGAAGTCTTTGTGGTTTAATCTATCTTAGTTAGGAAAATGGGCATTTGGGAGCTGACAGCATCTTCATTTTCTTTCAGAGGTACAGACAAAGAAAGTTCGAAAAGTTCCTCCAGGTTTGCCATCTTCAGTAAGTACTGCTTGTTTCTGCTTTGTATATTGCTTATTTTGTTCTGTTTTGTATCGATGGGAAGGAGATAGAAGTAAATGAGTTTCCATGCGCCCAGAGCAGCATGTTTATCTAGAAGGTGGATGAGGTAGAAATGACCTGCACATCCAGCCACCTGACCCACATTGGAGTGATTAATTTCTCCTCCTGGAAGTTATGTTGATATTCAGCAGGTTAAGCTCTAAAGAGAGCCTTGAAAAGGTGCCTGAAGTTTGAGGAGTTTTACCTGTACAGGGCTTTCAAGAGAATGAGTATTAGTTTCATGTGTTGGTTAAATTCTTTGTCAGTATTATGATGATTTATGGATTTGCATGCGAAAGGAGATTTGTGGAGAGGATTTAGGAAAAATTTACATGGGTTTCAGCCCAGAGTGCAGGAAGAATGTCTCTATTTTCTGGAGAGGTTGCTGAATAAAGGCTGCAAAGGTAGCTGCATCAGTAGCCATTTGTGTCTTTACTACCAGGTGACAACTAGAAGAAGTCAGCTGTAACCAAGAGCATTCTGGGTCTTTTTAATAGCTGGAGCTCTATGCAGAAGTTGCTAATATCCCCCACCCGCCCTCAGGTCCCCAGCACAGCAAAAGCTGGTTGTAATCACAACTTAATTCATGATATCATATTTTGAATTCTTACATTCCTAGAGAATTGTATTTAATTTTGTTTAGGACTAGTCCATTTCTGGTAATTTTCTCCTTACATAAAATGAAAACATAGTTTCCTCTCTTCTTCCTCTGTTTCTTTATCCTTCCTCTTTTTTTCATTCTTCCTTCCTGTTATATAAAGTTTTGATTTAATTCTGTAGAGTACTAGTATTCTTTGAAAAGAATGCTAATGAACTTTATTATGTTTTTATACTTTAATATAAAATCATGTTTAGATTTCTTAAAGTATATTACCAATCAATGCTTGCATATTAGTTTCATTTCCTTTTTGATGTATTAGAAGAATAATAGGTTTTGCAAATGTGCTAAGATTAGATTAACCCAAACACCTGTGTATTTGACTTGATTTCAGTTCAGCTCATCCGAACAATTATTAAATGAATGTATCAGAATAAGTCTTATCAGGAAAAAGAGTAAATTTTGTGTGCTGATTATCATAGAGTTGGTGATGTTGAAGAAGCATCACAAAATTATTCATAAATATAGAAAAATATTGTGTAAATAAGATTGCCAGTGGTGTATAAAGTAGTCACTTTCAGCTATCAATACATCACTTAAAATTGTACTCAGTTGTTTATTCTTTGAATTTCTATGTTGTATTGAAATTGACTGATATGCCCAAAGGATTTTATCACATATTTTAAGCTTGAAGTCAGGGGTGGATTTAATGTTGATGAAACTTTAGCTTTTAATAGGTTTTATGACAACTTCAAATGATATAGTCCTAACAGCTGTTTACATTTTAAACATGCCTGAACTTAATATGGACAATATTAAATGCATTTAGTGGACCTTTGAATGTTCTGAAACAATGGAATAACTATCCTATAAAAGCCATAAAAAACTTAAAGCTATCCTACCCTCTTTATGCCTCGTATTAAAATTAACTCGTTTTATCCAGTGCTAAGATTAGGTAGAAATCTAGACAGTTTCTAAGGAGTGCATTGGTGTGGCATCGGATGGCATGTATATGCTTAATCATTGTCAACAGCAATTTTCATAATTCGTTGTAAATTTTTAAGTATTTCCCTATAGCTAACTGGCCCCTTTAGAAAATTTTACTGGTACAGTGTTTTCTTTGCTGTTAAGACAATTTAGGTGTTGCTGCTAGGTTGTGATACGTTCAGAAATATAAAAATATTTTACCTTTCTTTCCCAATAAACAAAACTTGGGAATTAGGAATTTAGTTTTATTCCATTTAATTTTTGGTTTTCATTGGTCAGTTTAGGATTTACTCTTCTTAGGAGTTTTATCTTGACTAAATGTTTTCATGGTCCTTATGAAACATTTTGATGAATAGCCTTTTTTTCTGAAATATGAGGAAGAAAATACAATTAAAAATGAAATTTTTATCCCTATTTTTTGAGCAAGAAGAACAGGTTTAGGTAATTTTATAATTTAATCATCCATTTACTCATTACCTAAAAAAACTCAGCTCTATTTTCATGGCAATTTAACTTAGTTTATGTAAGCTTTGTTGTAAATATCTATTGCTTATTACTTACAGCAAGATCCACATGGCTTACCACCACACAAAATATTTATTTTAACTTGATTCCAAAAAAGGTCTGCAGTAGACGCAGTCAGACCTTTCCCCCAGCAGATCTGTATTTCTATATTTTTAGACCTCTACCATGCTTTTTTTTTAAAGCTCAAATAAAATTATGACTATTTGATAAGAGATACTTCTTAAATTTGTTTCAGTATGTATGAGTATTTGTATAACAGATAATAAAAGATTAGAGATAATAAAAGATTTCCTTTGGAGTGATTATGACTACATAAAGACACTTATATGTTTTCTTTGATACATATTTACCATGACAAATAGTAATATATCTGTCACAATCTGTTGTGGCAACTCACTTTCCCCCCCATTTTGAAATGGGCCCTCTCTTTCCCTTATGATAAAAGGAAGAAAACTTAAACGGTGACACTGCATCATCAGGTATTATTTGTGACATGCCTGTGGTGCAGAGACTGGACTTCTGTTCCCATTAGGCTGGCTCTTCCTCCCAGGCTATCAGGAGAGAGAGGGGATTGCCTGGCCCTGTTTTGAAAACACTGCAGCATCTGTGGGAGAGAGAAAACATAGGCCTGGCCCGACATCATGCCACGGATCTGGCAAGATCCATGAATGTGTGTTTGTACTGTGTGCTGCATCTAGAGACTTTACATCACTGTGGAAGGATGACACGATGATGGGATAACAGTAGACCCACCAGGCAGGGTCTACAGGACAAGCACAGTGTGTAGGGGGGAAGACTGTCCCTCTAGTGCACATAGACCAGTACTTGCTAGGGAGATTATTTTTTTTAAAGGAAAGCCTGTGTGAAAGACAGCTATCTAATTGCCCACGAGAGCTCTGCTTATTACCGCAGTACATTTTTATCTTTTCGGTTCATATTTTAGTATGTTGCTCTTTTTAGTCACGTCCCAATTTCGCGTAGCCCTCATTTTTTGCGAAGACCTTAGTAATAAAGTGTTGTCTTTGTTGATGTCAGAATTTATTTTGCATGTCTAAGCTCTTGAATCTACATGAGAACATCTTGTTTTGCTAGATTTCTACATTTTGGTTTTCCGTTTCAAACCATATTTCATCTTAAACTCAATATTTTGCAACTTTACTGCTCATTTCAACAAATTTGTTTTATGTAGCCTAATAATCATACACATTGAATCATGAATTCGTACAGAGAAATAAGGGCTATAGTAAATTAAAGTTTTGGAAAAAAAAAAAAAGGATTCATGATTCTTGAAAGAAGTTAACATGAAAGTACTAAAATCTAGAAAGTAGCAAAAAATTTTACATTGTGCTGTTTTAAGATACTTTCATCAAACACACAAACAAAACAAAGGCATTACTTTTGGAAACTTTATTCTGCCCATCAACATGTAAACCTGTAAAACCTCTCTCTTAGAATTTGAAGTATTTCAGAATTATATACATTTTATCAGAAACTGTTAACTACAAACTTTCTACTTCAAACTTTGGTGGAATTTCTCTCTACTTGTAATCTGATTTGAAACTTTAATGATGGTCTTACCATGACCCCAGCTGGAATCTCTTGAACATCAGATTTTTCTGGAAACAGAATGTTTTATCCTTAGAAATGGTTTATGATCTCTCATCTCTGGTGATCTTTCCTAAAACTGTACTTTTCAGTGAAGTCTTTTTTCTACGTTAAATTACAGAGGGGTTTTGTGTATGTTTTTTGTTTTAAAACTTAGGAAGACCTGGCAAACTTTAAGTGGTCAGAGATGATTTGGGACACGTGGATGCTAAGATAAACAATTTCTACTATTATAAAGATTCTAAAATAAGATTTGGACACTTCAAGAATATTTGTGACATAAGTTAATCAATAGGTAGGTTTGAAAAATAAAAACAATGTGTATTAGATACTAGGTTCACCAATTTTAATAAGGAAAGAATTCTTAAATAAAATGAAATATTTAAGTCTGGATTAGAGTTTCCTTTACAGAAGTGATTATTAGGGGTATCAAGAAAAATGAGTAATGCTAATGGCCTTAAATGCCCTACGTATTTTGTGTTATATAAAAACTTTCATATTTGAAGATTTCAAACATGATATTGAATCCATATCTTGAGCTATTTAGGGAAAACCCCCTTTTTCCCAAGTGCTTGAAGAAATCACGAACAATTTAAAAGAGATATTGGTAAATTGTTTTTTCCTTATTAGCGGGCTGGAAATTATATATGATTTTAAAAATCAGTACTGAACTCAGAAATATATAATTTCCTACATCACTTTTGAAACTGATCATAGGGAAATCAGAACAATGCTTTTTCATGTCAACAAATTTTAACAAGTAATAATACAATTTTCTTTAATATGAAAGTTTTATTGAAATACAATATCCATCACAAGGGAACTAAATATCAGCCATCTGGGCTCTATCCTTTTTAGGAAAGTCTAGAAGTAGCTGATTGTGTGATAAGACGTAAAAAGAGGAAGCTCTTCAAGGTTCATCCCTGCAGATAGATACTTTGTGAAGAAGTATAACTGCAAGTGTGTAAAATATTAAGATAGCTCTTAGTATTCACTTTTAAACTTAGTGTACCCATTTCTAATTAAAGATACTGGAATATAAGGTTTGGATATTAAAATTGTGCTTATTAATTATTGTTTAGGCAAGAAGGAGGTTAAGAGTGGCACAATTAAGTCATCTCAAATAGGACAAAACTATTCACACAATTTACACGGCATGTATAACATGACAATGGGCAACAGTGAAAGCTGAGAAAATATTCATGACAAAGAAAGTATTTGTGTG